ATTTTAAGCTCTTATTACCTCAGGTTTCTATGGCCACTCGAGGAAAAAGTCCCTGTGATTGCCCTTATTATGTCAAGTTTCTATGGAAAGAGCTACGAAAAAGTCCCTTGAGAGCCCTTATTACGTCAGGGCTCTCAGGAAACTACCAGTAAGAAGTCACCCCAGTCGCTCTTATTAGCTGAGGTTGCTATGGCAATGGCGCATCAAAAATCAGCCTGGTCACCCTTATTACCTCAAATTTCTATGGCACTTGCCAGGAAAATGTCCCTGTGATTGCTCTTATTACTTCAGGTTTCTATAGCAAGTGATACGAAAAAGTCGCCAGTCACACTTATTACATCAGGTTTCTATGGCAAGTGCTATGAAAAAGTGGCCCCGGGCTCCCTTATTACATTTATGGTATGGGCAAGGAAAATTCTCGGCGGTTGCCCTTTTAAAGACAGCTTTCAACAGCAAGCGCTAGGAAAAACTAGGCACCTTAGATCTTAGTAAGTCAGATTTCTATGGCAACTACAGGAAACAGTCACCACGGTCGCATTTATCACATCAGGTTGCTATAGCACCTGGCAGGAAAATGTCACCATGGTTGCCTTTCCTACGTCAGGTTTCTACTACACCTGCCAGTAAAAAGTCGCCATTGTCACCCTTATTAACTTAGCCTCTAGTGGCACCTGCCTGGCAAAGATCTCCGTGGTCTTGTTCACCCTTATTAAGTTAGCTTTCTATGGCAGGTGCTACAGAAGAGTCACTGGGGTCGCACATACTACGTCAGGTTTCTATGGCAGCTGCCAGAAAATGGTCACTGCAGTCACCCTTTTTACATCAGCTTTCTATGACAATTGCTAGTAAAAGTCGCTGTGGTCACCTTAATGACTTCAATTTCTATGACACCCACCAGGGAAAGCTCGCACTGGTCATGGTCGCACGTATTACATAAGGGTGCTATGGAATCTGGCCATAAAATGTCGCCGTGGAAGTTGTCATAAACTCGGGTTTATGGCAGGTGCTACAAAAAGGTGGCTGAGGCTCCCTTATTACATCAGGTATTCATGCACCCACAAGGAAATTCTCCACGGTTGCTTTTAAGTCAGGATTCTACCACAAGTGCTAGAGAAGAGTCTGTGGGGTCGCCCTACCTCAGGTTGCTATGCCACCTGCAAGGAGAAAGTCGCCTTGGTTGTCCTTATTACTTCAGGTTGCCATAGCACTGGCCAGGGAAAAGTCGCAGTACTGGTCCTTATAACCTCAGGTTTCTATGGCAAGTGCTAGGAAAAAGTGGCTGCGGGCTCCCCTTTTACCACAAGTATTCATGCCACACACAAGGAAAATTCGCCACAGTCCTTTTATTAAGGTCACCATTCTACGGCAAGTGCTAAGGAAGACTCGCTGGGGTCGCCCATACTACCTCAAGTTGCTATGGCACCTCACAGGAAAAGGGCACTGTGGTCGGCCTCATTACGTCAGCTTTCCAAGCAGGTGCTACAAAAAAGTCGCAGCAGCCCGCTTATTACGTCAGCTTTCTACAGCAACTCGAGGAACAAATCTCCACCCCTGCCCTTATTACCTCAGGATTTTATGCAACTGCACGCAAAAGGTCACCTAGGTCGCCCTTATCGCCTCAAGTTTCTATACCACTGCCAGGAAAAGATTGCCACAGTCACCCTTATTACGTCAGGTTGACATGGGTCCTGTCAGAAAATGTTTCCGGGGTCGCCCTTCTTAGGTCCCGTTTCAGATAGGTGATGGCACCTATCAGATATAAGTCCCCGTGGTCAAACTTATTAAGTCAGCTTCCTATAGCAAGTGCTACGAGAGAAGCAGCGCCAAGGATCTTAGTAAGGCAGGTTTCTACGCCAACTGCCAGGAAAAAGTCCCCACGCTATCCCATATTAAGTCAGGTTGCTAGGGGACCTGCCAGGATAATGTCACCGCAGTCGCCTTTCTTATGTCAGATTCCTATGGCACCTGCCCGTAAAAATCGTCTCGATGGTGGCCCTTATTACCTCAGGCTTCTATGGCACCGGCCAGGGATAGGTGGCCGGAGTCGTGGTTGCCCTTATTATGTCACGCTGCTATGGCATCTCCCAGTAAATACTGGTCGCCCTTATTATTTCAGCATTCTATGGCAAGTCTGATGGAAAAGTTGCCGTGGGCACCCTTATCACATCTGGTATTTATGGCAGCTGCAAGGAAAATTGGACACGGTCATATTAAGTCAGCTCTCTATGGCAAGTGCTACGCAAGAGTCGCTGGGGTCGCACATACTACGTCAGGTGCTATGGCACCGGCCCGGAAACAATCGCCACGGTTGCCCTTATTATGTCAGGTTTCTATGGCACCTGCCAGTAACAAGATACCGTGGTCACACTTGTTACCTCAGGTTTCTGTTGAAGTACTACGCAAAAAGCGCAGCGCCACGCTTCTTACGTCAGGTTTCTATGGCAACCCGAGAAAAAAGTCTCGGCTCTTGCCCTCATCATCTCAGGTTTCTCTGGAATTCAGAGGAGAAAGTCGCCTTGGTCCCCCTTATTACCTCAAGTGTCTATGGCACCTGGCAAGAAAAAGTCATCTCGGTCGCCTTTATTATGTCACAGTGCTAGGGCACCGGGCAGGAGAAGGCCACCCTGGTCGCCCTTATTACCTCCTGTTGCTATAACACTGCCCAGGGAAAAGTCGTGGTGCTGATCCTAATAACCTCGGGTTTCTATGGCAGGTGCTAGGAAAAAGTGGCGGCGGGCTCCCTTTTTACCCAAGGTATTCATGCTACCCACAAGGAAAATTCGCAACGGTCCTTTTATTAAGTCACCATTCTACGGCAAGTGCTAAGGAAGAGTCACTAGGGTCGCCCATACCACGTCAGGTTGCTATGGCACCTGCCAGGAAAAGGGCGCTGTGGTCAGCCTCATTACGTCAGCTCTCTAAGCAGGTGCTACAAAAAAGTCGCAGTGGCCGGCTTATTACCTCAGCTTTCTACCGCAACTCGAGGAACAAATCCCGCCCCTGCCCTTATTACCTCAGGATTTTATGCAACTGCATGCAAAAGGTCACCTAGGTCGCCCTTATCGACTTGAGTTTCTATACCACTGCCAGGAAAAGATCGCCACGGTCGCCCTTACTACGTCAGGCTGACATGGCTCCTGTCAGAAAAAGTATCCGCGGTCGCCCTTCTTAGGTCCCGTTTCGATGGCACCGATCAGATAAAAGTCGCCGTGGTCAAACTTCTTAAGTCAGCTTCCTATAGCAAGTGCTATGAAAGAAGCGGTGCCATAGATCTTAGTAAGGCAGGTTTCTACGCCAACTGCGAGGAAAAAGTCCCCACGCTATCCCATATTAAGTCAGGTTGCTAGGGGACCTGCCAGGAAAATGTCACCCCAGTCGCCCTACTTATGTCAGGTTCCTAATGCACCTGCCAATAAAAAACGTCGTGATGGTGGCCCTTACTACCTTAGGCTTCTATGGCACCGGCCAGGGATAGGTGGCCGGAGTCCTGGTTGCCCTTATTATGTCATGCTGCTATGGCACCTGCCAGTAAATACTGGTCGTAAATACCTGCTAGTACACCTGCCAGCATTCTATGGCAAGTCTGATGGAAAAGTTGTTGTGGGCGCCCTTATCACATGTGGTATTTATGGCAGCTGCAAGGAAAATTGGTCATGGTCGTATTAAGTCAGCTTTCTATGGCAAGTGCTACGCAAGAGTCGCTGAGGTCGCACATACTAAGTCAGGTGCTATGGCACCGGCCCATAAACTATCGCCACGGTTGCCCTTATTATGTCAGGTTTCTATGGCACCTGCCAGTAAAAAGGTACGTGGTCACCCTTGTTACCTCAGGTTTCTGTCGAAGTACTACGCAAAAGGCGCAGCCGCACGCTTATTACGTCAGGTTTCTATGGCAACCCGAGAAAAAAGTCTCAGCTCTTGCCCTCCTCATCTCAGGCTTTCCTGGAACTCGGAGGAGAAAGTCCCCTTGGTCGCCCTTATTACCTCAAGTGTCTATGGCACCTGGCAGTAAAAAGTCTTCTCAGTCGCTCTTATTATGTCACACTGCTATGGCACTGGCCAGGAGAGGTCGCCCTGGTCGCCCTCATTACCTCTGGATGCTATAGCACTAGCCAGGGAAAAGTCAGGGTGCTGGTTCTTATAACCGCCGGTTTCTATAGCAGGTGCTAGGAAAAAGTGGCGGCGGGCTCCCTCTTTACCCCTGGTATTCATGCCACCCACAAGGAAAATTCGCCGCGGTCGCTTTTATTAAGTCACCATTCTACAGCAAGTGCTAAGGAAGACTCACTGGGGTTGCCCATACTACGTCAGGTTGCTATGGCATCTGCCAGGAAAAGGGCGCTGTGGTTGGCCTCATTACGTCAGCTTTCCATGCAGGTGCTAGAAAAAGTCACAGCGGCCCGCTTATTACCTCAGCTTTCTACCGCAACTTAAGGAACAAATCTCCGCCCGTACCCTCATTACCACCTCAGGATTTTATGCAACTGAATGCAAAAGGTCACCTATGTCGCCCTTATCGCCTCAAATTTCTATACCACTGCCAGGAAAAGATCGCCACGGTTGCCCTTATTACGTCAGGTTGACATGGCTCCTGTCAGAAAATGTTTCCGCGGTCGCCCTTTTTAGGTCCCCTTTCGATGGCACCTATCCGATAAAAGTCGTCGTGGTCGAACTTATTATGTCAGTTTCCTATAGCAAGCACTACGAGAGAAGCGCCAAGGTTCTTAGTAAGGCAGGTTTCTACGCCAACTGCCAGGAAAAAGTCCCCATGCTATCCCATATTAAGTCATGTTGCTACGGGTCCTGCCAGGATAATGTGACCGCAGTTGCCCTTCTTATGTCAGGTTCCTATGGCACCTGCCAGTAAAAGAAGTAGCAATGGTGGCCCTTATTACCTCAGGCTTCTATGGCACCGGCCAGGGATAGGTGGCCGGAGTCGTGGTCACCCTTATTATGTCACGCTGCTATGGCACCTGTCAGTAAATACTGGTCGTAAATACCTGCCAGTAAATCTTCCAGCATTCTATGGCAAGTCTGATGGAAAAGTTGCCGTGGGCGCCCTTATGACATGTGGTATTTATGGCAGCTGGAAGGAATATTGGCCATGGTCGTATTAAGTCAGCTTTCTATGGCAAGTGCTATGCAAGAGTTGCTGGGGTCGCACATACTACGTCAGGCGCTATGGCACCAGCCGGGAAACTATCGCCACGGTTGCCCTTATTATGTCAGGTTTCTATGGCACCTGCCAGTAAAAAGGTACCGTGGTCACCCTTGTTACCTCATGTTTCTGTTGAAGTACTAGGCAAAAGGCGCAGCCGCACGCTTATTACGTCAGGTTTCTATGGCAACCCGAGAAAAAAGTCTGGGCTCTTGGCCGCCTTATCTCAGATTTCCTAGAACTCAGAGAAGAAAGTCGCCTTGGTTGCCCTTATTACCTCAAGTGTCTATGGCACCTGGCATTAAAAAGTCTTCTCGGTCGCCTTTATTATGTCACGTTGCTAAGGCACGGGCCAGTAGAATGTCACCCTGGTCGCCGATATTACTTCTGGTGGCTATAGCACCGGCCCGGGAAAAGTCCCGGTGCTGGTCCTATCACCTCGGGTTTCTATGGCAGGTGGTAGGAAAAAGTGGA